CTGTCTTCTCTCTTCCTCGTTTAGTCCAGGTGCTCTCTGCCCCCCTCCCGTTCTCCCTTCCTCTCCTCCTCTGTCCCCTCGTCCTCCGCGTCTGCACCCCTGCTGGGGTGCAGCCGCCTCCTGCCCGAGGCGCGTTCGCCAATTTTTCTACCAAAGGGGCCAGTTCGCGGTCCCCGCTCGGCCACTTGCGCGTTGATCGAGGTCAAGTGGTTGTGGAAAAGGCGCTGGGTCTCCTCTTCTCCCCCTTCAACACAGCAGTGGCGAGGCGTCCTGGCTTGCCTATAGAGGCCCGCCGAAGAATATTCTAAGAATCTTCCTGTGGATTGCATGGAGCATGCTTAAACATGTATAATATATATTTGTATATTTATACATTATATATACATAGTTGAGACCTTAGCGGGCCCTAGAAACGGCAGGGTCGTTCTTTCACCGTGTCCGAATAGGTTTCTCTTGAAGATGGGAACGGTGAAACACTGGCGACCGGAAAGGGCGAAAAAACGGCGCCAGGATTGGAACCGGAGCAGGAACCGGAAAGCAAACGGCGACGGAACCGGTAAACCAACGGCGTCTGACCTTACAAAAAACAACAAAACGGAAGCAGTTACAAAAACGGTCTTGTCGTTTCCAGGGCCCACTAAGGTTGAGACCGTCTTGTTTGAATGCATCGGCTGACTGTTCCAAGAGCAGTGCCTGGTTGCTCGAGCAGTGTTTGTGGAAAGATATGTCGAGGCAGGCCTATCGCAATGCCGGGGCGGTCGGCTGCTGCTCCAGGCAAGAGTCAACGCTAGAGGGGACGGGCTCAGGGGAAATCGCATCGACCCCCAATCACCCACTGATCACCGATAGGGGTCCGACTGTGTGTGTGTGTGTGTGAAGTCCGGCTATATCACCATTCTATCCTTATCGACCGCCAACGTCCCGGCGCAGGTAGTGGTATGACACATCGCGCTGCCTCATACGCAGCGCACTGGAAAAGGACTCGCGACCCTCTTCCTTTCCTGCCTCTACCTACGGGAAACTCAGTAGGTTCGACTCTTCGGTCGCTAACCTACATCCACACCGATGCTGATAACCCGCCCCATCCTAAGAACGTGCGCTCTCGCTATCGGGGGTCTGCCGCCCATAGCTATCGGCGATGCGTCGTCGATTCCGGCTCGGTGTCTCCCCCTTCGTGAGCCGATCACAGATCAAAAGAAATCTGCGCGGACCTCCGACGTTGTATGTTTGCGCTGTTCCTCCCGAATTTCAGTCAGGGTTTGGCCGCAGAACTTCCCAGAACCTCCAACCCCGTCAGACCTCGCAGAACCCGCTGGAGCCCTCCGGAACTCGGCCGGGCCCCCCCGACATCGACCAATGTCCCGAAAAGGCCTTAACAACCCTCCCTCCTCACCCTCACTTCCCAGGGGGTTTGGCACAGCCGTCCCTGGGACACTGCTTTGGACCTCCGGCCAGCTGACATGACAGTCCGCCCCCAGGCCTGACCAACGATCCCTCCTGGTCCCTGACGGGACGCTGGACTCCTTTTCCTCCTCCTCCCTCCCCTCCTCCTCCTCGTCGGTTCACCTCCTGGTTGACGAGGACTCTTCCGCATGCTGTGCCTCCTCGCTTCACCTCCTCGCCCCCCCTCTTTGCTGCCTCTCCTGCTTCTCTCTTTCTCCGCCGCTGTGCGCTGTGCCTCCTGTTCCTTCTCCTCCTCCTCATCCTCCTCCTCGTCCCCACTGTCTCCCTCCCTCCTTTTCCGTGCCTCCCTCCTCCTGTCCTTCCCCACCCCACGCAAATCAAAAGCGAAACGCATCAATCCTCCTCCTCCCCCTTCTCCTCCTCATCCTCCTTGTTCTCCCCCTCCTCCTCCTTCTCCTCATCGTCCTCCTCCCTGGCCTCCCGACATGGTGCGTGTTCCTCTTCCTCCTCCTGCTCCTCCTTGCTCCGCACCCCCCTTGCGTTATGTTTTTTTCTTTTTGCACCAGCAGGGCGGGCCGGGCGTTTCTAGTGAGACTTTTTGACCATGGCTTATCTTGAAAAAGCAGCGTTTCAACATATGCACAGCTGGCGGGCGAGTGGTTTTCAAAATGTGACTTCGCCCGAGCACGGCACGCACACGTCCTATAAGCGAAGGATCGTTGCACACGTGTTCTGTTATACTATTGTTTTCGTATTTCGCTCGTACTTCGGAAATTGGCACGTATGGAGTTCGGCATTATTCAGAACGGAGTTATCGCTTGAGTCTTCCGTTGTTGTCGTGACCATCGTTGGCGTGGTGCTACAGCTTGACGGATGGTGATAAACGGTTAAATTGAGTACCCGGATTAAGAGTTTGTTGATGTCATGTCCAGACGTTGAGCCCCATACGTAATTGTGGATGTAGATTCGGTGGTGTCATAACCTATGTTTGGCGCCATGTCTAGGACTCGCCCAAAACGCATAAAACAATACAGCAGGGCGTTCAACGAACAGTACATTGTCGCACCGCCCCTAAACAGAAGTGTTGCACGCACAGCTCCGTCCATCTAAGCAAACAGCAAGACAAACACATGCTTCCATCACACTGATTCGTGATACAGAGAAAGCTGCGGGCCCGATCTTTCTGATTGAGCTGCTGTGTTTTCTTAATTCCGCACTTGTGATATATTATTGGATATTGAGGGCCATATTGAGGTCCAGCACGCGGCGCTGTTTCCAGCAACATGATTTGAAATAAGATTAGGGCATATGCGTTTTCGGTCTGTTGTTTTGTCCGATTCGGTATGTGTTTGGAAGCTTTGTTTGGGCTAGTTTGTACCACATTGGAGGCCACCTTTCGCTGTTCAGCTCAGTCGCGCTGGCAGGCCAGTAGCATACTTACTCTAGAGATCGAGCGCGTTGCGCCGTCTCCAGCAACAATGATTGATTCGATTTGGGGATGAGCGAGGTCAAGCTTCGATGTCAAATGTTTGGTGTCTTCCGCGGCGTAGTGCGAACTTGTTTTTCGCGAGAAATTAAATGAATTGACTGATTTGTCGCACCCATTCGGTTGCCGTTTTAGTTTCGGCCCGCGAGCGCGCAATCCATGGCGCAACCATTGACAGACCGTTTTATTCTTGGCGGCCGAACGCGCAACATATCTCGAAACCAACAGGAGGCCGTTCTATCTTCTACGACCGTGCGCGCAATCCATGGCGCAACCAATAGCAGTCCGTTTACTATTCTGCGGCCGAGCGCGAATATTATGGTGCAACCAATGGGAGGCAGTTTGGCTCTCGACGGCCCAGCGCGCAACCATTGGCAAATCACTGTATACCCGGCAGCCGAGCGCGCAACCTCTGGCGCAAGCCACAACAGACAATTTGATTCTGGGCGGCCGAACACTAGGCGCATTCCTTTCTATATTCGGCGGCCGAGCGCGCAAACCACGGCGCAACCAGTAACAGGCCTTCGTATCCTCGGCGCCCGAGCGTGCAATCCATGGCGCAACCCGTGGCAGGCCGCGCGCAACCTATGGCGCAACCAACGGCAGGCCGGTTCATTCTCGGCGACCGAGCGCGCAATTCATGGCGACACCAAGAGGAGGCAGTTTTATTCTCGGTGGGGTTACGCCCGACATATTCTCGCCGATTGTGTTCGCGGTGCAGCCCGTGCTGCGGGCATTCTGTGCGATCTCCTGTAATCCTCTTTTCGGCCATCGCACACCTTCTTGGAGGCCGTCTTGTGCTTTGTGGCTCCATCGCGCGGCACCGCTTCCAGCAGCGCGCCAATACCTCGGAAGGCCCCCAACCCTTCGCCGACTTCAACGCCAGCGGCCCAAGAAGGGCCAGCGACCCACTCGTCGGTTTCAGGCAGTAGGAACAATGGGGGAGGGAGGGGAGGCGTGGTCTCTGGCGACGGCGACGACGAACAGAGGGAGGAGGGGGAGCAGGAGCAGGACGAGGAGGTCAAGGACGAGGGGGAGGCTCGGGGTCGTGACTGGCCGCGGTCGGTGCCCTTTGGGCTCCCTGGGGGCCCGGCGGGGCCGAGGGGCGCTCCCGCGTGCCGAGGGCTCCCAGTGCGGGCGCGCAGAGGCCCGGCCCCGTGCGGCTCCCTCGGGAGCTGCGCGGGCCCAGAGCCCCGTGCGGCCGATCGCCCCCCTGCCCGGCAGGGTGCCCCGCCACCCCGACCTCCTCGGGGGCGGAAAAGAGGGGGGTGATGACTAGGGGGCGGTGGATATCATGGCGTCGGCCATGATGTTTCCCCAGATTTCATGGCGCCTCTTCTTGTTTCATTGCGTCCCTGGGCCGCGCACATGGGCACCCCCCTTCTTGGCCGCTCCCGACCTCCCGTTGCGTCCCCCGCCCTGCCTCGGCCCTCGGGCCCTCGTGGGCCCAGTCTTGGGGCCTGTGGGGCCACGGGCGGGGCGTCCGTGGGGTCCCCGGGGGCCACCGCCTGGCCCCTCCAGGGGCCCCGTCTCCCGGGCGGCCCGACCGTCCTGGCGGCTCGCTGGGTTTCCGAGGTAGCGTCGGGGTGTCTCGGGAACCGTTCGTGGCCCGAAGGTCGTCGTTCGCCAGTTCTCGACGGGTTGCCTCAGTATTGAAAGCCTATGCCTTCTCGGGTTTCGCGGGGCCCTGCATGGACTGCATCATACGGCGCATGCTTTTCAGATTGGCGCGTATTCATTTTTCTCGAGGGCTGGCGGCTGGCGGGAGTTCTGCAGAAATGTCCGAAGCTGAATTTCCCCAGCGAAGCTGAATTAAGCTTCGGTTTGGGCAATCGGTTTCGGAAGTTTCTGCATAACGCCCAGTTGACCCGAAACAGAACATGAAAAACGCATAAGTCGAATTGCAGTGGAAAAGTGGGCACCCAAGTCGCGCTTCTCAACATGAGGAGGTGGACATTGAAGCGAGGCGCTACCGCCAGGCCTTGTCCTTGACAGTCGCCGTCGTCGCCGCCGCAATCGCCGCATCGTCGCCGTCGTACCAACCGCTGGAGCGTCGAGGATCGAGGGATGGCGTGGTTGGGGTCCCCCCGGGCTTCCTAAATCAGAAGAC